CATATGAATTTTAGGATCATCTTAGCAATTTCTAAAAAAAAGGGAAGAAAGAAAGGAAAAGACCAGCTGGGATTTTGAGAAGGATCAGGTTTCTGAAAACCAGATTTGGGGAGGCTCTCCATTTTAACACTGTCTAGTTTTCTGATCTATGAACATGGGATGCCCTCCCATCTGTTTGATCATTGATTTCTTTGAGGACTAGTTTCTGGTTTTCAGTGTACAGGTCTTGCCCTTTTTTTGTTATTGTTAAACTTGTTCCTAAGTCTGTTGCTGTGCCTGCCAGCATTATGACACGTTGCCCTGTGGGTTTTCACCTCAGACATGTGTATCTGCTGCGGAAGTTTCCGGGTGCACACGCGGCACCCTTTGTTTGAGGGAGGGATGTGCACTCCGTGCAAGGTAAGCAGGGAGGCGTGCGGCGGCTCCATGGAGGCCTTGGAACAGAGGCAGCCTGGCTTTGCCCTCACCAAGGACAAGTTCCTGGAGTGCCTCTTCTTGTACGACGAGGACGGGTACCTGTCCTACTGCTCCATATGCTGTGCGGGAGAGACGCTGCTCATCTGTGAGAACCCCGACTGCACGCGGTGAGGCCAGGGGCCCCGGGGGTCCGGGCAAGGGGTGAAAGGCCACTGCCCACAAGCCTGGGAAACTCCCATTCTTCTCAGCTCCTCATCCCAGAGTCCAAAGGGGTTCACCTCCCAAAAGTATGACTTTCTCCAAAGCTTTCCATTTCCATCTCAAATGTTTCATTTGGTGTATAGCCATGACCTAGGGGAAGGGTGTGTCAGAAGATCTGTGCTTGTGATTTCTCTTTCTGTTTTTATCGCCAAGACATAGCTGCTCCCTCCGTGGTTAAGTAGGGCAGCGACAGGAAACCCATGCGGCTGGGGTCAGGCGAGGCGTATTCATTCCCTGCTACATACCAGCCTAAGCATTACCCGTGGTCCCCTCCCCTCAGTCGTTCCGGGCGTCCTGGTATTTACTGCTGCGTTGCCCCAAGTCTGCAGCCCCGCCCCGACCCCGCAGTGGGCGCTCCTGCAGAGATCTTGCCTGGTTTCTCAGGATCTGGAGTTTGGAGGAGGGAGCCAGCTGGCTTAGGGGAGTCTGTGAAATCTGTCACTACCCACAGACCCCCTGCTGTCTTCTGCAGATGGCTGGGTTCCCGTCGCTCTGGGTCCCCAAGAGGGACCCGTGCCCTTCCCCGGGCCGCAGCCCCGCCTCCCGCCCCTGCCAGCTCCGTCTTCTCACCTGAGCCCGCGTGTGGCCTCCACCCTTCTCTCCGGAGCAAGGAGCAGGCTCGCCTCTGCCTACCTGGCGGCCAAGGCAGTGGCAGGCCTGTCGCTGTGGTTCTCTGTTTGACTCCAGGTGCTACTGTTTCGAGTGCATCGACAGCCTGGTGGGCCCCGGGACCTCGGGGAAAGTGCAGGCCATGAGTAACTGGGTCTGCTTCCTGTGCCTGCCCTTCCCCCGCAGTGGGCTGCTGCAGAGGAGGAAGAAGTGGCGGGGGTGGCTGAAGGCCTTCTGCGACCTGGAGGCGGTGAGGACACAGCGGGTGCGGGTGCTCGGCGGCCCTAACTTGGTTCCTTTCCTCTGGTGACGGGCTGCAAAATGCCCGTCCGCTCCCTCTTACACAATGATGTTAAGGGCTTTTAAGCAAATGCGCTCTTCTCATCCCCTCTTTGTCCGATAGATGCTCTGTCTTCTACAAGTCACTTTATTTTTTTTAACTTTTTTCTTTTTTTTAAATTAATTTATTGATTTTTGGCTGCGTTGGGCCTTCGTTGCGGTGCGTGGGCTTCTCATTGTGGTGGCTTCTCTTGTTGCGGAGCACGGGCTCTAGGCTCACGGGCTTCAGTAGTTGTGGCACATGGGCTTCAGTAGTTGTGGCTCGCGGGCTCTAGAGCGCAGGCTCAGTAGTTGTGGCGCACGGGCTTATTTGCTCTGCAGCACGTGGGATCTTCCCAGACCGGGGCTCGAACCCGTGCTCCCTGCATTGGCAGGCAGATTCCTAACCACTGTGCCACCAGGGAAGTCCCTCTACAAATCACTTTTGCATGGCAGTTTTGTTTCTTCCAAGCCTGGGAATGAGGCATTTGTAGGACGTAGGAGAGGGGCCCAGCAGAGGTGTGCCTCTAGGTCCAGCAAGTGGGAGTAAACGCCCGGGCAGGCTCTCCTGGTCCAGCCTGGACAGCTGGCACAGACGTGGGTCCTCTCCAGGATCAAGGTCGGGATCTGGGAGCTAGGCAGGAGTTTGGGCTCATCATGGTGGGTTGAGCTCTGTCCCCCAAAGACACATCCACGTCCTAACCCCTGTTGCCTGTGAACATGGCCTATTTTGGAAATGGGGTCTCTGCAGACGTAATTTAGTTAAGAATCTCAAGGTAAGGTCATCCTGGATTAGGGTGACATGAAATGCAATGATTGGTGTCATCTAACAGGAAGGAAGGGGACAGAGACGCACAGAGGGAGGGTGGCCACGTGATGGGGAAGGCTGGGTGCTCACCGTGGCGGCCTGGGGTCTCAGGCTCTCTCTCCTGTGGTGCATGGCCAGGCTGGTTCTGGAGAGTCGCCACACACGGCATTGCTGGGCCACCACGGTGGCACATGGTAGCCCCACCACCCAGTGCTCCCTGAAGCCAGATGGGAGCAGGTGCCTTTATGGTGCTTTTCGGAGCAAGGTGCCTGCACTCCCCGTAGAGCCTTCTCGCGGTCCGGTGAGCGGCAGAAACGCTCCCTCTCAGTGCAGAAAGGCCCCGTGCTGGCAGACTGCAGGACGAGTTTCTCATTGAAGGGAGAAGGGGTTGATGCTCACAGCTGGTATTAGTGCCACTAGAGCCGGAGCACAGCGGGAAGGAGGCACTGCTCCTGCGGCTGCCGCGGGGGACCAGGACGTGTGTCTGCAAGTGTCCCTCAGGGCTGTGCCTGCGCGGGATCCGCCCCGCCCTTCTCACCTCCCCACGCCTCCTCCTCCGGGCAGCCTGCCCTCCCTTACACTCGCCCGCCGCTTCACTGGCTGCCTGCGTTGGGTGCCCACCTGCTCCAGCCCTGGGCAGACCCTTCCCCCTGGGGCTCAGGGTCTCCTGGGACCCCCCTCCCGCACCCCCAGGCAGTGCCCCTGCCTAGGCCTGGAATCCCATCCGCAGTTCGTGGGAGGCCAGGCACTCCCAAGTGCAACCTCCTGGGGGTCAGGTGGCGCTGGGGTGCTTGTTTCATGAATAGATCCATCGGGTCTCTGCCACCGGGTGCCCTGCGGGGTGGGCGGGTGTTACCCTAGGCCTTCCTGGCTCCTTCATGGCAGGACTCAGGGGCTGGCTCAGGCCTGGCCTGGGAGATGCCTGACACTGGTAGCCTTCAGGGGTGCTGTGTGGCTTGAGGCCCACGTTCAGAGCCCGCAGAGGGGACGGAGAGGGGTCGGGTGAATCCCATGGCCGTGGGTATTCAAAATCCCCCAGGTTTGAGACTCTTCCCAAGAAATACAAGGGAAGTGGTTTCTCTCGGGATAGAATTATCTTCCTTCACAGTCAGGATAATGCCCTCGCACCTGCCTTTCCTTTGCTAGAGATGGCCCAGGCTGGGGGCTTGGTGTGGAAGACAGAAGCCCTCGTCCTGGGTAATGGGTGGGGTCTCACGGAGGCCTGGGGGTCAGTGCAGTCAGGGTGGGGCCAGCTGCCTCGGCAGGTGTGTCCTCATTCATCAGGGGAAAAGCTTCTGCAGAGCCAGAAAGAATTTTTCTTGTCACTCATGGGCTGTACAACCAAGCAGTCATCAGAACATCCTTTTTTTAAAAAAAAATAAATAGGAGAGTCCCCTTGAGATGTACAAAACTGTGCCCATGTGGAAGAGAGAGCCCATCCGGGTGCTGTCCCTTTTTGGGGACATCAAGAAAGGTGGGTGCAGTGATGTCTGAGGACTGACAATGGAAGATGGGTCTGCCTGGAGCGAGACCCATGGGGGACCGGGGGAGTGGGCGATGGGCGGGGTCGAAATGTCCCCTATGATGCACTTGCTACATGTTTGAGGCTGGGGACCTGAGGGTCATTTTCAGGAGGAGAGGGTTGCAAGAGCACCTGGGGCTCCTTCCTTCAGCAGGGATGCCTTGGAAAGAAAATTCACGTTGCAAGACGGTGGGTGTGAAACGCTGTAGTGAGGGCCATGGGGCCCAGGCTCTCTGCCTAGGACAGCCCTGCCCACGGCCACCAAACCTCAGACACCTCCACATACCTGGCCGCCTTACAGGGCTGCCCCACCCCTCGCAGGGCTCCCTGCACCCTCCCTCTCTACCCAAATCTCCCAGGTTGCGCAGGCTGGTCACGTGCTGCATTCCAGCCTTGCCTGGGTGTCCTGCCCCTCTGTACCCTGAGCAGACCCCACCTGCTGGTGCCTTTGGAAATCCTATGGATTCTCCTGGGCCCGGCAGATGTAAGAAGAATCCGTGAAAATACTCCTTGTCTCTGGCCAAATGGAATGGGGGGGGTCGTCCACCCCACTTCTGGCGCTATGCCCCGTGTCTTGTGTAGTGTGGTCACAGCGGCCTCATGCACACCCGTGTTAGGGACCTGGGGGCTGAGACGTACAGAGTGGACACAGCTTTCCCCTGAAGGAAGCCCGTGGCCACCCAGCCTTCAAGTCCCTGCCCGGACGATGCATCCTTAGTTCAATTTGTTAAGATTCTTTCTGGGCTAGTTGTCCCATGCCCAGGCTGCAGACCCCCCTGCAACCCAGCCGTGTCACACAGCCTGACCAGGTGACATCAGCGTGGACGGCCACCACCCAGTGGATTCCTAACCCAGAGAGTGACACTGCAGCCAGGAGGGCCTGGCTTTGCGACAAATTGCTTGACTTTCTGAAATCAGTTCTCAGTGGAGTTTGCTGGCTCCCCCCGTCATGCGGTTGAAAAGATAAAGTCTGCTTGCTAACGGCAGCCCTTTAGTTCCACATGGGGTCAAAAACCAGCGTCAGCCCTGTGTGTCCCCTTTGCTCCCCACCCAGAGCTGATGAGTTTGGGCTTTTTGGAACATGGTTCTGAGCCGGGGAAACTGAAGCATTTGGATGATGTCACCAACGTAGTGAGGAGGGACGTAAGTACTGCTGTGCTCCTCCAGGCACCAAGGGGTGAGAGCAGACCGGGGGGAGGGGGTGCGTCGGGGGAGGGGGACTGGAGGGGGTGGGGGAGGTGCAGCCCGGATGCTCTGTCCCCAGCAGGGCCCACCTGGGGGGGTGTCGGCCCCCCACGGCGGGAGAGCTGAGAGAGTCATGTCCGTAGCCCCCCGCTGCCCACCGCCCAGAGGAGAACCGTTGGCCAAAGCTCCCGCCTGGTTTGTTGAAACCCAAGGGGCCTATCCCACCACCTGTGATGGTGCCACCTAGGGAGGGGCTCCTAAAATAAAGTGCTTAGTCTTGAACACAACCACCACTGACTGTTTGAAAACATTCTCCGAGCGCTGTCATGAAACGTCTGGCTCCCTCGAAGGCTATTTCCTGCTGTCCTGGACGGCGGCCTTGGAGGAAGGGCCTAAAAATGACTCAGCAGCTGGGCCGCGAGCTGCCGCGGATGGGAAAGGGCCGGGCCGCCACCTCTGTGGCCTCAGGGAAGGAAGACCTGGTCAGTCACCCGCTCGCCCACACAGCCTCTCACAGGAGAATTAAAGCCCGTCATCCCCAGAGCCTGACAACCACGGGCACGGGGTCAGAGGGGCCAGAACACTGGCCACAGAAGGTGGCAGCAAGGAAGCAGCCAATGTGGGGGGACCCAGTTCACCCCCCGGGTGCCGGCAGGGCCTCTCAGCTCTGCTCCCCGTCTGGCCGGGGGGCCGTGTCCCAGGGGCCAGCCCTCCTCCCTGGCTGAGACTGGAGACGCCCCCCTCCTCCGTCCCCCTGGGGTCTGCCCTGCCCCGAAGCCCAGGACAGCTCTCTTCTTGCCCCTCTGGCCCCTTCGGACGTCCCACCAGGAAGCATTTCTGGAGCCTGCGCCCACCCGCACCCTCGTCCCAGGCCCCCCAGGGCGGGGTCCTCCCTGCCAGGGCAGGACGGTCAAGGCGGGACTGGAGAGTGACACGAGCCCTCCCCAAGTAGCAGAGCTGCAAGAACAGATCAGACATGGAGGGGCTCTCGCTGGCGCAGCCAAGGGTCTAGACACCCCCTCCCGTAATGAGCTTTTGCGTCTCAGGGGTGACAGTGGCTCACATGTGTCGTCACTCGGTTCCCCAACGACCAGTCCTGGCTTCACTCCTTTTTCACGAGGCCTGTAAAATGGGCTTTCCCACCGTGCAGCCCACCCTAGAGGTGGGGGTGTCCGGCTTCCACGTCTGCACAGCCACACCTGGCCGCGGGTTTCGGGGGATTTCAAGTGCACACTGGCGGGTTCTCGGGGACAGCAGGGTGTTCCCTCTAGGACCTTGCTTCCTTCACAGCCTTTCCTGGGGTCATTTCAGCAGCCGTCTTCGTGTAGAGTGTTGGGATGCGGGTCCCGGGCCCCCAGCCCACGCTCACCTCCTCTAGCCCCCTTGCCCCTTCCCTGTCCAGACCCCCTGCTGTACTTGCGCTGGTCAGCAGGCTTCACTGGAGCTGAAGCCACCAGGAGCGCACCTGGGTCAAGGTCAGAGCTGACTGCGACAAGGCACGTGAGGTCAGGGGCACGTGAGGCCGGAGGCTAACGTCAGGTGTCGGCTTCTGTTAAGTGACTTGGGGAGGGTCCAGGGAAGCCACGTCTGCTCTGGACGGGCTGCTGTCAGAAAGCCAGGGATCCAGTATTTGGGTCTTTCCATTGTTTTTCAAGAAGAGTGACACGGGCTAGAGTCTCTAACTGGGTCCCTCAGTCACCTGGGCCCCTGATGGGGGAAGGGAATCCTCAGCGTCTCAGCTCAGGTGGGATTGTAGGGGCCTGGACGGGGCTGGGGGTCAGGGGAGGTGCAGCAGGGGCGGCTCGCGCTCACCAGGGAAGGCTACCTGCTACCCAGTGACCCATCAGGGCTTCCACCTGTATTTCCCAGCAACACACAGAATCCGCATGAATCCTTGGGGGCCCCGTGTCACTCTCCCTGGAGGGTCTGTAAGGGCCATGCCCGGCACAAAAGAATCACCGCGCTCGGGTTCCCAGGGCTCTGCTGAGGGCCGGCCTCCCTGAGATGATAGAGAAAGCAGGGCTCCTTGCACCCCCTGAACCAAGGGGCAGGTCTGACCCGGTGGGTTTCACCGCCCCCCGACCCCTTCCATGAGGGTCAGCCTGAATCACAGGGTCAGAGAGGAAAGGTGCCCGGCCCCGGGGGAGCTCTCTGCCCTCCTGAGCCGCGCGCTCTCCTGCAGGTGGAAGTATGGGGCCCCTTCGACCTCGCCTACGGCTCTACGCCCCCGCTGGGCCACGCCTGCAGCCAGCCCCCAGGTAAGAGGCCTGGCCATCTGCTCAGACTCCAGAGCCTCTTGTCCGCCACGCCCTCCTACGCACCCCAGCTCTCCTCAGGGAGGGCAGGAATTGGAAACCGTCTGCATTCTTAAACAATCAGCTTTATTGGGGTATCAGAGACATAGGTCAATTGTCCGTATTCAGTAAGTACAGCGTGGTGGGTTTTGAAGTGAGTACCCTGTGAGCCATCACCGCAACCAAGACAGCGAGTGGGTCCGTCAGCCCAGGGCGGCCTGGCGCCCCTCCCACCCTGTCCGCAGGGCTGTGTGTCCCTGTGCGGCGTCGCCCAGCCTCCCGCACCTGTGCCCTGGAGGCTGCAGCTGCAGGAGCAGGACTGCCCTGGGGAGCAGGCGGCCCCGCCCCACCAGAGCCCCGCCCTTGCGTCCCGGGTCCCTCCAGGCAGAGCCCAGACCCACCTCTTTGCTCCCCACCCCAGCGTGGTACCTGTTCCAGTTCCACCGCATCCTGCGGTACGCGAGGCCCCGGCCAGGCAGCCCCCAGCCCTTCTTCTGGATGTTCGTGGACAACCTGGTGCTGACCCAGGACGACCGCGTCGTGGCCACTCGCTTTCTGGAGGTGGGTGCGGGCCGCGGCCTCCCCGAGGGACACTTGGGACCCCCGGGGGGCACCGCTTAGGTCCCGGTCCCGAGGTCTGGGTTTTCAGAGTTCACAGGGCCCACGAGGGCCGTCTCACCACTGAGGTCCCAACAGTGCCTTTGCACTGCCCTGGATTTAGGATCCCGCCACCTCGGGTCATGTCCTTCTCCTCCCCGCCACCCCACCTGGGCGCACGCACACTCGCACTCGCACACCGCAATGCGCAGTGCAACCGTCAGTTACACACACACACACTCAAACCCATCCTGGGGCACCGACAGCCTTGCTGTTTCTGTCCTCAGGCCCAAGTCCTGACCATTAGAGCAGCCACTTTTGGACTCAGTGACCAGTTTGTCCAGGGCTGACCTGGCCCGTCCCTCCCAGCAGACCCACACACAGGGCAGCCCCAGGCCAGGCCCGGGGTCCCCGCAGTGAAAGTCTCCTGGCTTCCCCACCCCTGCTGTCCCCACTGCACTTGTCTTCGGGTCCTTGGCCACCTCCAGGACGTCTTCACAGACCTACACATCTGCCCACCCCGCTGCCCTGCGTCGGGCTTTTTTCACTTAACCGTGACCTTGGAAATCGTTCTGTTGGAAAAGTACCTTTCTCACTCTTTGTTTTGACGTACGTGTTTTGTTTTGTGCAGTTTTATTTTGTATGGATGTGAAAAATGCCTTTAACCCGTTCCCGGGGACAGAGAGTTGGGCTGTTTCCAATCTCTTGCTCTTACAAACAATGCTATGGGGAGGGGGCGTGAGTGGGGACATCTGCGGGGTGGATTCCGGAATGAGACCACGGGGTCCATGTGCCGTTTTCAGGGATGCTGCCACTGCCCCGGGAGGGTGCCCGCGCAGACCACCACCCCCCCCCGGCGGCCGAGCTGCCGCTCCCCTCACCTGCCCACGGGGTGTCCCCAGCTCTCTGCGTTCCCTCGCCTTGGCTCCCAAATGTCCTGTCTTCTTCCCTCCTATGCAGTTGGGATTTTCCATTTTGTATCTTACTGGTTTTGTATCTTTCTTACTGGTTTGATTCAAGAAACGATTGATCTCGTCTCTACATTAATTTAGCTTCTGCTGCCTTCTTGGATTACTTTGTGGATGAAAGTGGTTTATAGTTGGTTCACTTAGACTTTCTGGGTATTTGAGCAGATTATCTGCAGGTCATGATAGTTTTTTCTTTCTAATTTTGTACCTCAGACACGTCTCTCTTGTCTCACGTTGAACCACAGTAGTGATGGGACATGTCTGCCTGGGTCCTGACTTGCACGTACATGTGTCCAGTGTTTCTCTACTAAGCTGATGCTGGCTTTGAGGTTGAGGTTGATAAATTTCACTATGTTAAGGAAATTTCCAGAAGTTTCCCTTGATTTCTATTTTTTGAGCCATTCTATCAAGAATAATTGTTGGATTCTGTCAAATGTTCTTTTTTACGTCTATGGAGAGAATTAAGTTCCTTCTTTAGATCTATTAATAGGATATAATATACTAATAGATTTCATAATAGTGATCCATCTTTGCATTCCTGGAAAATACCCAATTAGTCGTGGGGTGTGGCTGTTCTGACAGATTGCTGAAATCTAGTGAACTGCATTTCCCGTAGGATTTGTTGCTTTGACAAGCACGAGAGAGGTGGGTGTGTGAGGTTGTCTTGTTTTGTGCTATTTTTATTGGGTTGGGATGTCAGTGCTAAGTTTGCTTCATAAAAATATTTTAAAATTCGACAGACTTTTCCTGTGCAATTGCTGCGATTGGTTCTTGTTGCTATTGTTTTAAAATGGGAGCAACTCTTCTGTGGGAACTCATCTGTTAAGATTTTCAATCTTTTCTGAGATCTATTTGGTAAGTTATGTTTTCCCGGAATGTCACCCATTTAATTAAAGTTTAAAAATCATTTTCATAGGGTTGAGCAAAGTGGCCTCACGATTCTCTTACTTTCTTCCGCATCCGTGGTTATTTCTCCTTTTTGGGAAGCCCGGAATTTTTAAATACTGACATGTCACCACATATCAGCAGTCATGATGAGGCTTGTAAGGTGACCTGTTTACTGAAAAATCTATGAAGAGTAATCACGAGTCCAGACAAAAAGCACAGTCTCCCAACCTGGGTGCCAGCCATCAGCAGACTTGGAGGACAGCAAGGATACTGACTCTTGATCGCTTTGTGAGCACATTGGGTAGATCGGAATTGGTCCCAAATCAGAAGAAGGCAAAGAAGAGACCTTCCCACATGTCCTGTCACTGCTCCCATCTTGCTGTGGAACCACATTCCTGCTGACGGCAGGCAATAGCTAGATGTGCCCAATACAGGACCGTCTCTTTCTGCCCGGCACCTGAGGGTACATCCAGGTGTGAGCTCTCCTCCCGGCCAGGTGTCTGGATGGTACATCCAGGTGTGAGCTCTCCTCCCGGCCAGGTGTCTGGACACGGGAGGAGACTAATGTGTCCAGGGATGGTCAGACTTGGGAACGGTCCACGTGGGCCTTTCTGCACGCCCCACCACTCCAAGTCCGGAGAGGTAAAGTTCAGGCCACCTGGTTGGGTGTCGGGGACTGGATGACCTCCCTCCTGCCACGACTCCCCCCCAGCCCCTCCTTCCCTGACCTTCCGGTGCTTTCTACGGAGACTGCGGTCCCAGGATCCGACCACGCCCTTGGCTCCTGTGGGCCTCGTGAAGCACCGGCCCTTGAGGAAACACTGCTGTCTGCCCGCAGAGCCTCTTATCTGCCTGCCGTGACATATCTCGTGGCTCAAAGAGCAAGGACTTCTTTGGCCTTCACGGGAATCCGTCTCTGCCATGCAGCAGGCGGGGAGTCCCTGGGCCAGGTGACCTGTGGGAGTGAAAATAACCTACCAGTCACAAGGTCTAAAATAATATCTCGGCTTTTTTCCTTACAAGGTGATTTATGAGAAAAAAGATGTGACATGTAAGCAGTGTCGACTGGGAGACATAATCGGTCTAGGAGGCCCGGGACACTGTTCTGGGCTCAGGTGTGGTGCCCACTGTGGGTGCCCCAGTTCATAGTTGACATTTTTATCCCTCAGACTGACCCGGTGACCATCCAGGACGTCCATGGCAGTACCATCCGGAACGCCGTGCACGTGTGGAGCAACATCCCCGCCGTGAAGAGGTATTTCCTGTGCATTTGCGTCCCTGGAAACTTGGAGGGACACAGGCTGCTTCGGGTTCACCAGGGAAACAAGTCTGAGAGTGCAAGAGAGTGGAGGGTTTTCTACACAGAGCCGTGCCCGGGGCAGCCTCTGTGCCCAGGTCAGGGGCCGCCCCACAAGTTCTGGACAAGCTCAAGGTCAGCGGTGCCCCCTTTCCACTTCGGGGACCTTCTCCCCGCTTCTGCCCTGGTGCCTCTGAGCGTCTCACTTCCGGACAAACCCCCGGACGGGAGCCACGCGGCACATGTGCCCCGGTCCCGGTCCCCACTCCCCAGGCTCCAGGCACGTGCCTCACCCTGCACAGCCCCACGCTCACAAGCACACACCCGCTGTCTCACAGGCTCACACTCGTCACACACAGAGCACACACTCACACAAGCCCACATCCTCATGGGCACCCCACTGTGTGCGTTTGGGCCACACTGAGCTTCTTTCAGCCCCTCAAACAGGCCTGCCTTGGGCTTTCACACACACACATACACGCACACACACGTGCACACACACACGTGCACACACACGCGTTCATGCACACACAGACGGGCACACACACGCACACACGGCCTTCGGTGCTCCTGGAACATCCTCAGGACTGCCGATTCTCACGCATGTCCCCTCGCCAGCCCTGCACACCCACAGCCCCGGGCCGGCCACCCCACCGCTTCAGGCAGCCTTTCTGCTGCCGGGACCCTGCCCTCCTCCACTGTCCCCGCCACACACGGCCCCCCGAGCCCTGAGGAGAAGGCCGTCTCCTCCCCCAAGCCCCGTGCGTCTGGCCTTCGTCCTTGTGTTGGACCAATGTTGCCTGCACCTTCCAGGACAGTAAGTCATGGGTCCTCCCCCGGCAGTGCCTGGAAACTTCTTTTCACCGCCTCCCAGTGCCAGCCTTCGCCCCGCTCACGCTGTGGTACCCACCAGGCCCCCAGCCAGGACTGTAGCGGGGACGTGGGGAGCCAGGTGGAGCAGGTTCCGAAACATTATCTCTTCGGAAGACCTGAGGGTCACCCCACCTCCTCCACGGCGTCTCCCCACTTCTCTCCCCCGGAGGTGGGTGACGGGGCCTGGGCCCCAGGAGCGCAGCAGGTGCTTCCCTTCAGGCTCACACTGTCTCAGTCGTGAGGGAGACCCCCCTCACTGGAAGTAGGGACCGTTTTGCTGGGATGATGGGCAGCTGCCTTCAGACAGCACCGGCCTCCCTTGGACAGTGGAGCTGCCCCAAGGATGCGGGCAGGGAGGGCACCAAGAGGGGCGCTGTGTGTTTCTGGCATCTTGTCCGTGGTCTTCACCCCCCTGCAAAAACTGAGCTGAGAAATATTCCCCGAGTCCAGCGAGGTGCCAGGCGCCACGTCCGCGAGACTTGAGTCCCCAGGGTTTCATCACATGACGAGCGGGGTCCCTGCTACGTGGCCCTCCGGCACAGGCAGCCCAGGGCCCACAGGCAGCCGTGCTCATCTCGGGTGCAGCAGAACCCTCGGAAGGGCCGTGGAACACCGCTTGACCAGACTTGCTCACAAGTCCCGCCCTCCCTTCTCTGTGGGTCTGCTCCGTGGTGGCCTCTCCACCCTGAAAGTGAGACCTGCTGAGCTGGGCCAGTGGTCTGCCCTTGGGGACCCTCTGTGCACCCGTCTCGGGTGACAGGCCCTTCCCCGGGAGGAGTGTGGGAGCCATCGTCCCCTACTGCCCACGACATGCTTGTCATCCCACCACGCGGTGAAAACCTCACAGAAGGCAGGTGGGGTCTTTCTCTCAGAGACCTCGGGTAATCTAGCGAGACGGGCACCTCCCAGCTTTCTCCCAGGAGCCCTTGGGTGGGTACTGAGCCCCCGCTCTCCTTTACAGCAGGCATTCAGCTCTGGATCCCCAGGAGGAATTATCCCTGCTGGCTCAGGACAGGCAGAGAGCAAAGCCCCCCACCCAGGGCCCAGCCATGCTGGTGAAGAATTGTTTTCTCCCCCTGAGAGAATATTTCAAGTATTTTTCAACAGAACTCACTTCCTCTTTATAAATGAGTCATTATACCGTGAAAAAAAAAAAAAAAAAAGAGACTTTTCCTAGAACAAAGACAACTTTCCTTACATTGTTTGTTTTTTCCTTTTCAAATTATTATTTTATTTGCTTAACTTTGGATTTTCCGAGTTTGCTACAGGCCCATCATCCCTTTGGGTCTGGAGATACAGGGCCCCGCTCCCACCATGACCTTTGGTGGGAGGGGGCGAAGCCTCGGGTCTAACGGTGGACGAGACCCTGACATTACCGTGCACGTTGGGCTGCTGGAAATGTTTCTTTGTACCAGTTGGGAAGTTAAAATATATTTATTATGATCGTTGTGGGTCATTTTTTGGTGTTTTTGTGTATAAGCACCACCTTTATTTTATTCTGTAGGACATAGGAAAGTATGTGAGAAAGACGAGCAGGACACATGGTTATAACCACGCGCTGCACCTGTGCCATTTGTACACGTAGCCGATGCCATCACGGCTGCCATGTGCCTTGATGGTTAAAATCACCCACCCTGATTAGAGCCACAGGAAACACCCCAAACCTTTGCAAAGTGTAGATATCCACTCGGTCAGCCAAGTAGGACAGGCTGAACAGAGGGCACGGAGGCCAAGGCCAGGTCCACTCGTGAAGCATGCAACCTTTGGTCCTCCTTAACCCAGATGGACTTGCTTGCAGAAGGCGGGGTCCCAGTTTGCCCCGGGCTCTGGTGAGGACAGGACCATTGGAGCATTGACAGAGCCGGCTTCAAATCACGTGTGATGAATCCCAAAGGGGCCTTTCCAGGTTAACCAGAAAACTCCCCAAAGGGACCCAGACTCAGACAGGCACATAGATTCTGCTTGTCCTGGGCGTTACACTGTGACCTGGGGAAGCTTGGGACCACTGCTGGTGCCAACAGTGGTTTGTGGAAGAAAGGTGGGGCTACAAATGGACTTTCTGAAGGGTGTTTTTTTTTTTTTTTTTTTTTTTTTTTTGTGGTACGCGGGCCTCTCACTGCTGTGGCCTCTCCTGCTGCGGAGCACAGGCTCCGGACGCGCAGGCTCAGCGGCCATGGCTCACGGGCCCAGCCGCTCCGCGGCATGTGGGATCTTCCCGGACCGGGGCACAAACCCTTGTCCCCTGCACCGGCAGGCGGACTCTCAACCACTGCGCCACCAGGGAAGCCCTGAAGGGTGTTTTAAAAGTATCTTGAAATAGAATAGAAGTTGTGATGGTGAATTTTATGTGTTGACTTGGCTGGGCCACGGTGCCCAGACATTTGTTCAAACATTATCCTGGAGGTTTCTGTGAAGGGCTTTTTGGATTACATCGATACTTAAATCAGTGGGCTTTGAGTAAAGCAGTTTACCCTCCACAGTGCGGGTGGGTGCTGTGGTCTGAACTCATCGGTTGATCCTAACATAAGCTAAGCTCCAAGGTGATCGTATTAGGAGGTTGGGCCTTAGAGTTGACTCCAAACTGGGATTAGTGCCCTTACAGAAGAGGCCCCAGCGAGCTCCCTCACCCCTGCCCACGTGTGGACACACGAGAAGCGTGTGACCGTGCAAGGGGCCCTCACCCGACCCTGCCAGTACCTGACCTGCCACTTCCAGCCTCCAGAACTTCGAGCAGGACGTTTCTGTTGTTTATAAGCTGCCTAGTGTGTGGAATTTCATTATAGTGGCCGCGTCGGACTGAGACAGTCCCAAGCCATCAAAGGCCTAATCTCCCCTGAGCGAGAAGGAATTCTCTCCGAGCACGACTCTTCCCAGGCCTCCAGCTGGCCAGCTCACCCTGTAGGTTTTGGGTTTATCAGGCCTCCATAATTACATGAGCCAATTCCTTGAATAAACTGTCTCTCTTCCTGTCTCTCTCTCTCTCCCTCTCTCTCACACACACACACACACACACACACACACACACGGAGAGCCCTGGCCGATAGAAACATCTTCATCTTCATGAAGACCTTCTCTCCAGGCTAGCAGGGGGACAATACTGGGCTGTGATGTCATGGGTCTCCTGTCCAAGGGCTAAAGGTCTGTAATGAAACCAAGGCCACGGCAGCCCCAGAAAACACGGAGGGCCAGTGGGGACAGGAGCATCTGAGCACAGATGAGACCCTCCAGGGAGGCCAAGCCCTGGGACCAAACCGACCACAGAGACAGGCACTCGTGTCGGCGGTTGACGGGACAGGGCTGGGAACGGCTGCTTCCACCCAAGGCAGCCGGCGCCGAGGGGCCCGGTCTGCCGGCGTCAGCTCTATGCCAGCCTGCTCCCAGGCGGGGCCCAGAGCCCCTCAAAGCAGCTTTATAACACCTTGAGATTCTGCCTCTAAGTATTTAATCCCACCCACAGAGGCCCCTTGTGACCCCCTGTGGTCATCTGAATAATGACCCCAGAAAGATGTTCCTGTCCTAAATCCCAGAACCTGTGAATGTCACCTTATAGGCAAAAGAGGGCTTGGCTGCTGTGATGAGATGGAAACGGGGAGACTGTGCTGGATCACGTGTGACCCCCAAGGCCCTCACCAGGGGTGGCAGACGAGACCTGACCCCATATAGAGAAGGCCATTGCCGTGGGGGCAGAGACGCAGCTGCAAGGCAGCGGGCGCCTGGGGCACCCGGGGCGGAAGAGTCGGGAAGGACCCTCACCTCCAGCCCCCCGGAGAAGCGCTGGTTCAGGCATCCCGCCTCCAGAACTTGAGACGGTGCATTTCTGTTGTTCTGAGCCCCGAGTTTGAGGCAATGGGGTCTTGCTTCTGTGTCTGCACCCAGAGCCTTGGACCTTCAGCACAGCAGCAACTCCGGCTTGGTTCCCAGGCTGGCCTAGATAGCCTTCCGGGTGGGCTTCTCTCTCCGGCACCCCCAACACACACCCCCGCCCCGCTGCCTGAGAAACAGTCACGGGTGAGGGCAAGAGAGGAAAACCTAAGCTCACCCGCAGGAAGTCTCCCGAGGGCCGTCCTCTGTGCTCATTCGTCTTGAAATCCTCTGTCTATAAGCCACGTGCCAGTATCGGTGCGGACGCCTTACGTGTGCTCACACAGGAACCACGAACCTACTTAGCTGCGTTACGAGGAAGACGTTGTAGCTACCGCCGCTTCGCAAATGCGGAAACACAGCACAGAGGGGTTACCGGTCTGAGGGGCTGGTCTTCTGCCCACTCCCGGGGTGTCCCTCCCCCGCCCCCGCCCCGTCCTGCTCGGACGTCCCCTTCCAGCCCCGCTGCACTCCCTACCGCTTGCCTGCCCGCTCAGCAGGCAGCGCGCTCCTTGGGCCCAGGGTGCCCACTCTTGGGTGGGCCTGGCAGCAGCACTTGGTCCTCCGGGGTCCGGGGAGGAGGGCTGCCCCAGAAGCCAAGCCTACCTCGTCCCCACAGCAGCCGGCCGCTCCGTGGCGTTCGCCCCCCGGAAGCCCACCGTGCTCCCTGCCCCGCTGCCCTGGGGCTGTGCCCCCGCTGCACTGTAGGGCTGCGGCCCGGGACACCGACTGGGCACCTTTCCTTCCCCGCTCCACGTGAGCCGACACTGCGAGGGAGGCTTTAACCGAGGGGGCCTCTCCGTCCCCCAGGACCCGAGGTTGCGTGTGGGGTCCACCCCTTCCACTCCCCAGCACTGCGGGTAGGGTGGGGGGGGGGTCTTGGTGGGGGCGGGACTGGACCCAGGAAGGCGGGAGGTGTCGGACCCAGCCGGTCCCTTGTCCCTTTCTCCTCACCCGCGGGTGATGCTGGGTCGGCCCTCCCCAAACGCGGTCCTCCTCTGCCAGCTGCTGCCAACCCCGCGGGAGGGGATCTAAGGCCACCGATATCGTGCCCCCTCCGGCCCTGCTGGGCCTGATACAGTGACCACCCCACCACCAAGTGTCCCCGCTGCATCTGTTCTAGATGCGGCATTGGTTTTCTGGCTCTGGGGATGGGCAGCGTCCTGAGACCCCATCTCTGATCTGATTTATACCCACGCCCGGTTCTCCTGGCCAGATCTTACTTTTCCTCCTGGCCCCCATCTTTCAACCCCTTCCTGATGGCCCCCACCCAAGTTCAGGCTGTCTGTGCCCTCACTGGACACTTGAATGGGAGTCCTGGCCGGGACCCCTGTCCCTTCTCCTCCCCCTGCCCCCAAAGGGAGGATAGACCCTGCTTGGCCTCTGTAAATCCCCCGCCCCAACCTGCAGCCTGACCTGGGAGGGGTGAAGACCCTGCACTTTAGGACCGCAGGCCCACCTCCCTCCCTGGCCACCTGCAGCCCCCATCCCCCTCCTCGGCAGCATCCCCATCTCCCAGCCCAGCTCTTTTGCTTCGTCTTTTTTTTTTTTTTTGCGGTACGCGGGCCTCTCAGTGTTGTGGCCTCTCCCACCATGGAGCACAGGCTCCAGACGCACAGGCTCAGCGGCCATGGCTCACGGGCTCAGCCGCTCCGCGGCATGTGGGATCTTCCCGGACTGGGGCACGAACCCGCATCCCCTGCATCGGCAGGCGGACTCTCAACCACTGCGCCACCAGGGAAGCCCTGCTTCCTTGTCTTGTTTGCTCTTGTCGCCACAGGAATGTTAACTTCCACCAGGCAGAGATTCTCTTATTTTAAGCTTTTCTCTTTAGCACTCACATAGGCCGCATGTGGTAGGTGGGCACTAAATCTTTGTTATAAGAATGACAGCATGCAGGTGGCTGGGGCCAGGGGAGCCCCGTGGGCTCTGCCCTCACTTTACACCCTGCCTGTCCTGCGCCCCAAAGGCTGGCCTCAGCATCCCCACCAGCCTGGGCCGCAGGACACACCCCTCGCGCCTCCACCCAACAGGAGCCTCCAGACCTGAGGCGGGGTGCCTGGGGGCCCAGGCCCTTCCGGGGGCTGGACGGCCTCTTGCCTCATGGCTCCACCCACTCGCCTGGCCGGCACCCACCTGGCCGGTGCGGGAGGAGGACGCAGCTGGGCCTGCAGAGAGGAGGCCTTGTGGACTGGGTGGGCTGGGCAAGAAGGAAACGGGGCGTTTGCCCCCAGCTCCGGGGCTCCGCGCCGCCTTTCCCAGACCGGAAAAAAATATATAAACTCTTTTTTGAGTGAGAAGTCCCACACGCTTGGAGGAGCAAAGACGAACTGGTTTCCACGCGGTGGGCTTTTCAGAGCCTTTAATAGGCAAATATGCTGCGGCAGGTGGCCCAGGACTGACAAAGGACGCGGCAGCAAGGCTGGCTCGGGGGAGACTAGGGCTGGACTGGAAGGTGGAGCCCGCCGGCCTGCCTTCCCTCCCTCCTTCCTGCCACTCATTCATTCGTCCCTGAACGGTCCTGGAGCTCTGACTTCACCAAGCGCTGGAGGTCCTGGCTGCGTCCCCAGAGCGGGAGGGAGGGCGGGAGCCTGACTCTCAGCCCGCCGCGCCCCGCCGGCTCTCAGGTCGCTGGGGCGGGGGACAAGCGCAGGCGGAGCCGGGGCGCTTGGGGGTGCGGACGTTCTGCGCGACTCTGGGGCAGCGCTGAGCCTCCCACGGCCCCTCCAGCTGGGCAAGCCCTCCAGCAGCGCGCTCGGCCGCCCTCCTCCACCGGACCTTCCCTGCCGCTGACTTGCCGGGGTACCTACTGCGCTCAGGCTCAAGGCCCGGTGGACCTGGCGCCCCATCCTGCAACCCGCGGGGCCCGACTTACGCCCTCTCCTGGGAAGGGCTGAAGTTTCGGGAGTCACTGTCCAAGCTTCCGTTCCCTCGCGCCTGCCCGTGGCCAAGGCCGTGGGAGGGACCGGGCCGGGGGTGGGACCAGGGGCGGGGCCGGATCGGGAGGGCGCTGAGCCGCCGACCAGCTCAGCGCCCAGAGCCTCCTAGGCGCGGCGGGAGCGCAGCGAGTGCTGGCCGCTCCGAGGGCTCCCGCGGCCCGAGGTCGCTCGTGCTCGTGCTCGGAGCTCTCCCGCGGCCCGACGGCTTCCGCGGCCCGAGGTCTCTAGTGCTCCGAGATCTCCCGCCGTCCGAGTTCCCCCGTGGCCCGGGGTCTCCGCCCCCACCATGCGGCCGAGGAGGTGAGCGTGTGCGCGGACGCGCCCTCTGGGCGCGGGGAACCGAGCCTGGCGGCGCAGCGGGGGCCTCGGGCTCCGGGAGCGGGGCGGCACCGCGCGGGGCCGCGGGAGGCGTGGTTACCTGCCGGCGTTGCCCTCCCGGCGGCGCGGGACCATGGCAGTACGCGGGTGTACCCGGGGCGGGGTCCCTGCCGAGGGAGGGAAAGAGGAAAAGCTGGGAGAGAAGACATAGCGACCCACTCTCACTTCCCCCCTCCCCTGCCCGCCCCCGGCGGTGGCCCAGAGGAAAGAAGGGTGTGACTTTGCTGTGCCAAGGTCGCTCTTATTTACCTCGAATGCCGTCTGGTGCCCACCAACTGGTGACGTGCCCCCCGCACGCCTGGGTTTTTCCCCTCCTACATCAGCAAAGGCAAACTGGGGAAGGTGCCGGCCAGCTGGTCACTCCTGGTCTCTTGCCAGCTGAGGGGGAGGCAACAGCTTTCTGCCAAAATGCCCCCTTCAGGGCAGTCTTAGCATCGGCAGCCTGTGTTTCCCTTGAGCTGGTGAGGTACCCCATCCCCAGGTGCCCCACACGCACAGCCCAGAAACCCACCCACCCCAGGGTCCCACCACCCAGTCTCCCCAGTTGGAAATACAGGGAAAGACTATTCCCTCAAGAACGGAAAATAAAAATACTGCCATGTCACAGCCACCAGCCACCCACACCCCTGAGCAGGGGGCCTCGTCTGTGCTTTCTCCTATCTGACCCAACGAGGAGTGGGCTGGGGCACGGGCAGAGTGGTGACAGGTGAGGCAGGGGCCACTGCTGAGGCGTGCAGGGTACAGAGGCTCCCAGGCTGAACGTGCCAGGAGCCTGGGAGTCATGAGAGGGATCTGCCGGCCCCCAGGGCTGAGCTGTCCACCAGCTCCGGTGGAGCCACCAGATCTGGTTTCAGATTGATCACGTTCCTTCAGAAGGTTGTCCTGGGGCTCACCCGACCCTGGCGGGGGGAGGGGCATCTTACATCTTCTCTGTCTCTCAAACTTCAAATACCCCGAAAGTGGTTTTCTATCCGATTTTATACAATTTCTTAGACTCCATCCGTGCAAAGCCAGGCCACCAGGGGGCTGATGGTTCCTCTCGATACCCTTTATCACACCCTCATAACTGCTTTGAGGGGCGTTTTATTAACGTGGGAGCTGGTCCCTTGCAGGGGCTGCCCGCCCCTTGGGGCTTGCCTACTGGGCAGGGAGGAGTTGGTGCTGTGTCCGCTTCTTGAATCCCTGGCTGCCCCGGGTGGCCTGGGCTGATGGCCTGGCTGCGGGTGTATTCCCACTGGGATGGTGGGTGTGACCGGCTCCTGACCCCACTGGGGAGGGGCGGGACTCACCCTTTTCTGGTTGTTTTTTCCCAGCCCTGGACTACTGCTGCTGCTACTGTGTGGCCTGCGAGCTGGTAAGTGCAGACGGTGCTCTTGCTGGAGCCTTCCAAGCCCTTCAGTTCTGAGCAGTGAGGACCGCGGGGTACAGGTGTCAGTGGGGTCCTCCCCACAGCCCTGCTTGCTTTTCCAGGGGCCCTTGTGAGAAAGCGGGGCCCCCAAGCCCAGGGTGATGTGTGGCATTGAGAGCCGTGAAGCGGGGGGCTTGGCCAGGCCCCGTGGTTCTCCTTTGTGTTGTGTTTGGGATGGGCAGAGTGTAGTTCCCCCCAAGTGTTTCAGAACCTCCGCTTTCCAGAGGAGCTGGGAGCTGGGCTTCCTGTTTCCCGTGACCCCTTTGCTCCCCAAAGCCACCAGCTTCCAGAAGAGTGCAGAACGGGGATATGGCACCACAGCGGAGACTGAGGCCTTGCCTGGCCTTCCAGCCCACAGGGCGGCGGGTCAGGGCACACGGCCACTTTCCCTGCTGGCATCTGAGCGGTTGTAACAGACCACAAAACCTCGCCGGGCCTTCTCTGATGGAGTTGCAAACGCTACTATAATGATGTTGTTGAGAAGCTGATGTTTTCTTTTCAAATGTCTGAGTTTTTTTAAAAACATCTTTTTATTCTGAATTCATTGTAAACTCCCAAGAAGTAGTAGAAACAGGGAGGAGTCCTGGCTGGCTCCCGGCATGATGACTGGAAACCGACCCTGGTGATACATCAGAGCAGCTTACCGCCAGTGTCCGAATTTTTAAACTATTGTTGCTTTCCTATGTGCATCTTATTACTAATACATTCCTTTCCTACTGAAATGAGTCAGAATTGGGGTTTGAGTCTTGCAACCCAGAAGCTCCCCCGTCCCTCCAAAGGGTGAGTTCAAAGTTACGAGTCAAGCGCGGAAGATGAATTCTGTTCTTTTTGGATGCTTGCAGAGATTCAAGAAGAAGAGATCAGAGCGATGGTGGGCAGTGATGTCTTGCTCAGCTGCATTTACCCTGAAGGAAACACCTTCGATTTAAATGACCTTTATGTTTACTGGCAAATCAATGTGCCGGGCAAACGGAACACCAGCTCTGTGGTGACTTACTACCTCTCGGGAAACAGCTCTGCCGGCCACGGTAACAACCACTACAAAGACCGGGCCCGGCTGTCCCTGGACAGCATGAAGCAGGGCGACTTCTCTCTGCACCTGCACAATGTCACTCCCCAGGACGAGCAGAAGTTCAACTGCCTGGTGTTTCGGAAATCCTTAGAATTAGAAAAGATTTTGGAAGTCACGGTCACGCTAAACGTGGCAGGTAAGACGGCGGAGCTGACGAGTTGATTCCAGCCCAGCCTTACGGCCCGGAAGAAGTGTCAGTAAGACCTGTTTTCTGCGGCTCATTCACCCGTGTCTTCCCTTAAAGGAAATCCAGATCCCTCTAGCGGGCTTCTGTTTAAACCAGGTGTGCGGCTTAGGTGGTGGAAATATCGTTCGGCTCCTAAAAAAGTTTTCCAGTAGCCGAGGTGCCTCCCTCCTCACAGGAGCTCCTAAGCTTGCTGTCCTTGCCTCGAAACCCTCCAATTCAACCCAAACTAGATGTTTTCATGAAAAATGGAGGGAGTGGTATAAGGCACTAAATGAGATCAGAGTTTAGGAAGAAAATAAAAGCCCCTCCACCAAGTTGCTCGGGGCACCGTTCAGTGGAGAGACGGGTGAATTGTCAGCTGACTGTGTCACTAGACTCAAAGGAGGCCAACCTCCTTGGGGTGGGACGTGGGTGCCGGTCACTGCCCGCCCGGCTCATAGCGCCCCTATTGGTGGGTTGGGGGGCGTGACTCTGGTAGAACAGGGCCTGTGCTGCTGCCCAGACCACAGCCTTGGTCCCGGCCCTGCTCCGGCGTCAGGGGCACGACGGCTGCCTCCCCGCTACCCTGGCCCTTGGCACTGTGTCCCCCACCCTTCTCTGACCTTCGGAACCTGGCACCCCTCAGCCCGTTTCCCTCCCCTGCAGCAAACTACAGCATGCCAGTGGTCAGCGGCCCATCCCAGGATGAGGAGTTGGTCTTCACATGCACGTCCACGGATGGCTACCCGCGGCCCAACGTGTACTGGATCAACAAGACGGACAACAGCCTGCTGGACGACGCCCTGCAGAACAGCACCGTGTCCCTAAACGCGAGGGGCCTGTACAACGTGGTCAGCGTCCTGCGGATCAGGCGGAGCCCCACCATCGACGTGGGCTGCTGCATCGAGAATGTGCTTCTTCACCAGAACCTGACCAGCGGCCAGACAGGTAAGGTCCCGGGATCTGCACACTGACCCCAATCCAAGGCTGGGGGCCAGGGGTGACTTGGGGGATCCTCTCAGGTGGAAGCCCCTATGAGGTGACTCGGCAGTGGCTTCAGAGGTGGTGACAGGGAGAGGAGGTGACAGACATCACCGTGCGACGGAGGGCAGGGGCCGGCCAGGTGCTCGGGGCGCTTAATCCTCATGCACCTGGGGGGGGGGGGGGCGTCAGTTTTGGTGACCCATTTCGCGGATGAGGGACTGAGGCTCCGAAAGGTCATGTAACACTTCAGAAGCTGCAGGCTGAGGCGGCGGCAGCATCAGGATTGAAGCCCCTCCTGCACAGCCACCACCCCAGCTCTTCGGACGTGTGCCCCCTGGGAAACCAGAACCGCTCTTCCACCAGGGGGTCCGGCTGGGCCCCGTGGAAGGGCGCAGGCGGGTGACTCCTTTGTAGAAGCCACAGGCTCTCTCAGCCTGTGTGTCCCTGTCAGCAGTGTTGAGACGCCAGGGAAGGAGGGGCAGGAGAGCTGGAGGATGGGGGTGTCGGGGGCCTGCCTACCACCAAGAAGCCGCCCAGCTGCCGGGAGCCCCCGTGCCCGGGCACTCGCCTTCCTGGAATGCAGGCGCAGCCCTGGGACTCAGCGGTCACGGTCTTCTGGCTGCACCAGAGGCCTCCGCTGGCCTCTGCGTCCCAGCAGGGCAGCCGGGTGCAGGGGAAGGGGAATGGGAGGGTCTCCTGGGGCCGTAGTCTCGGCCCAGCTGCTCTGGGGGACAACTGGGAAGCCTGTCAACCCCCATCACCCCGCCCTGTGCCCAGACCCTTTGAATCAGCACCTCTGGGCTGTCCAGGCAACAGGACATGTTGAAAAGCTTCCAGATGGTTCTAAGGTGCGTGGGAGGCCTAGCCACTGTCTGGCTCATGGCTCCTTCGGGTTTCGGCAAACACGGGACACTTGTAACAAGCTGCCCAGGGAGGGGCACAATGGTTGGACACTGGGACAGGAGGATTGGCCCCCTCGTGCACTGCCAGTGGGACGGGAAATGGTGCAGCCGCCGTGAAGAGCAATCTGCTAGTTCCTTAAAACTTAGCCTGTGGGGCTTCCCTGGTGGTGCAGTGGTTGAGAGTCTGCCTGCCGATCAGGGTACATGGGTTCGTGCCCCGGTCCGGGAGGATCCCACATGTTGCGGAGCGGCTGGGCCCGTGAGCCATGGCCACTGAGCCTGCATGTCCGTAGCCTAAAAAAAAAAAAAAAAACTTAGCCTGTGACGCAGCAATTCCGCCCCTAGGTGTGCGCCCCAGAGCGCTGGAAACGAGCATCAAACAAATACTTGTACATAAATGTTCACAGCAGCTCATTCACAATAGCCCAAAGGTGGGAGCAACCCCAGTGTCCACGGATGGACGAAGGGATGCGTCCATCCACACAGTGGAGCATTACTCAGCCACGAAAAGGAGTGAGGCACTGACCATGCTGCAATGTGGATGAACCGTGCAGGTGATGCTCAGTGAGAGAAGCCAGACACAGAAGGCCACATAGTGTATGATTCCATTTGTATGAAACGGCCCGTATAGGTAAATCCAAACAGACAGAAAGTAGGTTAGAGTTTGCCAGGGGCTGGGAGAGAGGATGGGAAGTGACCACTGATGGGAAGGGGGTTTCCGTTTGTGGTGGTGGAAAGTTCTGGAATTAGATCATGGTTTTGGCTGCGTGACCTTGTGAATGTACTAAATGCCGCTGAATTGTTCGTTTTAAAATGGTTAATTTTATGTTGTGTGAATTTCACCATCATTTTTTTTAAAGCCAGCAATTAAGCTAGAAAGAATTAATTAAATCAAGTTTAGTTTAAAAAGCCAGGAAGGGCTTCCCTGGTGGCGCAGTGGTTGAGAGTCCGCCTGCCGATGCAGGGGACGCGGGTTCGTGCCCCGGTCCGAGAAGATCCCACGTGCCACGGAGCGGCTGGGCCCATGAGCCATGGCCGCTGAGCCTGCGCGTCCGGAGCCTGTGCTCCGCAGCAGGAGAGGCCACAACAGTGAGAGGCCCGCGTACCGCAAAAAAAAAAAAAAAGCCAGGAAGACTGTGCTTCCCACCATGCCCATTCCCAGGTGTGGACCTTTAGGAAGGGCTGGGATTACAGGTCACACGGGTAGGGTGAGGAGGAATGACAGCCCAGGAAGAGATGAAGGTTCACCTGGAGGGGGAAACCCTCCTCTCCGTCAGCTTTATAGCTTAAAAATCACAAAACACCTCTGGGAAAGTTTGGTGGATCAATACTTCCCTTAGCGCTCTCTCCTTCAGGATGAAGAAACCCCCTTTTCCTCCTGACCCTGTAAGTCCTGGGTTACTTTCCTTTCCTGCAGAAATGTCCACAGGAACCAAGGACAGCATCACAGAGGACCCAGTGGACGACACCCAAGATGCGGTGAACCAGCCGGTTCTCAGCATCCTTGCTGTGCTAGTCGTGGCCGTGGCCGTGGCCGTGGCCACGGGCTGGCTGTGCAGGCGGAGATGTCCCTACAGAAGCTACGCAGGTATCGGAGAAGCCCGCGCTGCAGACAGCGCACACTTACTTTGTTGGGGTGAGGGCTGGCCTTTCCTAGGATGTTTCCAAGCCCTGCGTGGTGCCGCTCTCACGGGAAGCATGCTTTAATCGTGCTCACACACGTGAGGATAGCAGCCCCAGTGCCCCTGGTGTGACCTCCTCCTCCGAGATCCTGACACAGCTGCGCCCCAGAAGGGAAGTCCGGTCTCTGGGTCTGGGGGGGACGGCGGACTCCGAGTGTGGACGTGGTGTGTCTCTGGAAGCCGAGTTGCCTTCAGTCCCTCAAGGCCGTCTGTCCAGTTCTGGCCAAGCTCGAAGACAGATCCAGAAAGTCTGGGTTTTGACTGTAAAACGAAGAAGCGGAACTCACAGTGGGGAGCAGAAGAGCCTAGAATGTGGACCCTGGGACCACCCAGGTGTCACAAGAGGGCCTGAGGGCTGGGGCCTTGGGGGAACCCCTCGGGGGGGGCCAGCACAGTCTCCCCAGGTCAGCCTGGTTGTGGAGGTCAGCGGGCATCCCCAAAGGTCTTATTAACCAGGTCGGGCTCCTCCTGGACTCCTGGGAGGGTGTGGAAAGGGAGCGCGGCTGGATTGCGGAGCCCACGCACAGTGGGAGCTCTGCCTGACGGGAGGGGTTTCTACATGCCGCCTGGAGCTTCCACTTGGTTGCCAATGCCATCTGCCCAGATATACTGCCCACGGCCCCACTGCCGACCCAGCCAGGCCGCTGAAGGCCCTTGAGCATCTTGAAGCGTTTCCCACCCTGACCTCTTACAAAGTCTCGTCCTGGAAATGAGGGCGACCTGAGGAGCCCTCACCCGAGCAGGAGGCTGGAGGAGCGTGGAGTGGGGCTCTGCTGAGTGCGGGGCCCCTGGGGTCTTCAGAGAGGCCCCCTCACAGCCCGCCCTGAGTGTTTCTGGTTTGTCCCAACAGGCGCCCAGGCTGCGAGGCCGGAGCTGGAGCTCACGGGTCAGTTTGCCAGGAGGGAAGGAGACCCGTGGAGGAAGCGTGGGTCCACGGGCGAGCTGGGCGCTCCACTCTCTCTGTGCCCGCCTTTCAGCGCGGGTGCTACTCGATGACCAGGAAATAGGCGTTTCCAGTTTCAGAGACGGTGAAATCCCAAGCGAAGGCCTGTCCCCCTGGCCTTCCTTGGCGTGTAAGCCCGTCCTCTCGCTGACACTGTGCTATGGGATTTTCCAAATGTACAGCTACACGTACATGTCAGCAGAGAGCCTGGGACCACAGCCCCGCTGCCCCTCCCCAGCTGCCCGGCTCATCCGCCTGTTCTCCCTCCGTCTCAGCCCCACCCCTCGGGGGCGGGGGCTCTCCAGCGAGTCCAGACCCTTTGTGCGGGCACCTCACTGTCCCAGAGCAAAGGTCAGAGTGATTCCCGCCCCAGTTTGGGAAAGTAGCCACACGCAGGGCCTTCAGTTTCGGTTTCCTACTGGCAGGTGCCTCGGGCTGCCAGGCCTTTGTGGTCAGGCCAGCGGGCTCCACGCCTGAGGCCAACGACCATACCTCTGAGCCCCGTTTCTCCACCTGTGAGAAGGGTCGTCAGGGGAGGGTAGGCCCGAGGTGAGCACGACCCACACGGCAGTGCCCGCCCACCTGTTCACACAGGTGATTCCGGGGCACGCGGCTGCCTGGTGCTGCAGCAGATTCCCTCCCAAGGCCACTTTCAGACGATGCAGGACACAGCTTGCTAAAGAATCCGGGCCTGCTGACCCGAGAGTCCGATGCGGCGCCCGTCTGCAGGCGTTTTCAACCCTGTTTTCACCGTCCTGGTTCCTGAGAAGATGAGTCTCTGCTTCCAGAGAGAATGAGCCAGCTCTGTGCTCACGCCCCTCTCCTCTTTCCTTCCAAGAGCACGTGTGATGAGAGCTCCCCCAGGACGTGCCACCAGCGGGGACGTCGGGTGGCAGCTTGAGAATTGACCCGGGCAGGCTGGGCAGAGGACACCATCTGCGCCCGTATTGGGGGCTGCACGGGCACTGGGCCACCTGGCCTTGTGGGGACATGCGGGCGCCCCCTGGAAGGGCCACGCTGACCCCAGGGAGCACGTGGCGGGCACTGACCTGATCCTGGCAGCCCTTTCAAAAGGTCGGCAACTCCTCGGGGATACATGTGCCCCCAAGTAGGTGGGCTGCCCACCTTCGCTGCCAAACACAGAACAAGAAAAGGGTTGTGACGGCTCCTTTCCACCACCAGCCCCCGAGAGCCTGCAGCGCTTCTCAGCATCCTGGACCGGACGGGCTTCTGAGGCCACTCTCTTCCGGGATGACCTGTGCTAAGCCGTGTTCGCTCCAGGAGCAGGGGCCACGTGCTGGCTCTGCTGGTCAGTCTCCTGCCCCACCTCCGCCCTGAGGACCCGGCGTCTGTGCAGACGTGTCCTGAAGCACTGAGCGGGCGGCACCAGAAAAACCCCTGGAACTCATGTCCCTCCAGAACGCTCCCTGGGAGGAAAACCCGACCTCATTTGTTTTGGTCAAAAGCTAGGTTTCCCTCCTCAAAAACACAATGAAAAAACAAAAACAGTGAAATTTTGGGAGAAGGTCTGTGCTGGGCGGTGCAGCTGGGCATGGTGGCCCAGGGTTCCGCTGCAGGGGACAGGCAGGCAGGGCTGGGACACACGTCTCCAGAAGACACCAGCATGGACAGGTGACTGTCACAGTCCTTCAAACTGGGGCCGTGAGTGGACGGTGGGCGGCCTTCCGGCCGCATGGCCGCCTTTCTTCAAACGCAGAAGCAATTCCCTCGAATCTTGCTGGGCAGCCCCTGCCAGCCCCGCACTGTCACCCAGGGCCCCTCGCGGACCTCCCCTGGGGACCTGCACAGTCGTGACGGAGACTTCACCTCACGTGCCGGGTTCCTCGGAGCCCGCTGGGCCCCCTGGGTGACTGGAGTGGGGCAGTGGCCAAGTCCACGGAGGCGGCAGCCCGACGCCCTGACCCTGCCCAGGCGGTTTCCATGTTGATTCCTGCATTACATCTAGCAGTTCACTGTTTCCAGAAGGTTCTGCAAAGGTGGCTGCCAGGTAACCCTGGTGGGCACGCCCCCAGGAAACGGGTCTGTTGCCCCTGCCCCTGTGGTCATTCAGCACCGACGGGCACGTGAGGCCTGCGCTCCCCAGATCCAGACTTACAGCAAACTCAACAAGGCCGGCTGAGCGCAGAACCTCAGCCAACAGTGTTCCAAGAAACTGTGCGTGTGTATGTCTGTTTTTGTACCAAAGAGCCCTCACATGGCTTTTAAATAGGTGTGGTGAGGGGTCCACACAGACTTTAGCATGAAAGCATTAGAAGACAAGTGTGGTTCCTCAAAGAATGACAGAAGGTGACTCATGGCACCACGAGCAAGAAGCCTGAGGGGCCCTTGAGTGCAGCAGGTGGGGTGCGTCAGGTGGTCGCAGGCCTGTCCCCAGTGACTGTGATGTGACACCAGGACAGGTGCACCTAGGGCCCTCTCCGCCGTCCTGCCCGGGGTCCAGCCTGCAGACCCTGAGAGGCCCCTGGAGCTGGTCAGGGCGGCGTTCTCCGCCCGGCAGGACAGGGCAGCCGCAGGGAGACTGAGTGTGCTTCCAGCTTTCCTGTCAGAAGGGATTTCCTTCTTGGGGAAGCGGCTAGGCCGGCCTCCCGCTCAGGCCCCGTGACGCGGCCGCCCGGGTCTCTCCCTGCATGTGCTTGCGGGCTCTGCCTGGGCCCTGGGCTCTAGGCTCCGGACCCTGAGTCATCATCTCCCCGCTGGGCCCCAACGGACCCTCGCCGCTCCCTCCGGCCTCCGGGGCCACGGTCTGCTCTGCCCAGCTCGCACGGGTCACCCTTGGCCTGTCCACCCTGGGGGCCGCGGCTTGCACCTCACGCTGTGTCGTGGACAGTGTGCAAGTGCCACATTTTGACGTTTCTGGAAGCCTGGTTTTGGAGAATACAGGCAGTCGGCGTGGCTGTGTCTGGCAGCTTTGGTCAGTGTGCGCGCGGGCATAGTGCACTCAGTCCGTCCTGATTGCCGTCGGGGACCCTGCCCCTGCCCCGTCTGTCCTCACCTGGGTGGCCCCGTCCCCCAGGGGACGTTGGTTAGCGTGGAGGCATTTTGGTTGTCACTCTTGGGGGTTCCTACTGGCTTCTAACGGGTGGTGAGCGGGACACTGCTTGACGTCCCACCATGGATGGGGACCCAGAGGTCAGTGACCCGAGGGTGAGGATCCCGTGTCACCTTCCTGGGGAGGGCAGGGCAGCGAGCCGCTGTCCCGGTCCCCCTCGCACGGGGCACAGGAGAGGCGACTCATGGTTCAGGGTCAGGCCCAGGGAACGTTCCAGGTCAGGGGCCGGCCGGGAGCAAGAGTCTGAGGTGCTGGCACTGCCGTGGGGGCAGAGGCCACCTGGCCGTCCCAGCAGCCGGAGTCCTGGTCTCTGGGGCCCCGTGGCCCCTGCCTCCAGCGCCCTGCTCACAGTAGCTGCGCAGTGAACACCCATCAGGGAGGCGGAGCCAGGCCGGCAGATGGAGGCTTGTCTCAAGGGCAGGGGACAGAGGGAAGTAGCAGCTGCGTGACGAGAGCGCCTCGCCCTCCCGCCAGGTGAGAAGGCCGGAGCCAGCTTCTGCCTGCAGCTCGGCCCCGCCCCGTGACCGCAGCCCTCACCCTGGGGAGGGCAGCCGAGGCTTTGGAGAACCTCAGGAGAAGGCCACCCTGCACTGCCACTGCCCGGCGCGGCCCCAGTGCTGTGACGCTGGCCGCTGGTCAGCGGCGGGGCCCGCCGGCGGCTCCGGGCAGTGCCGGTGCCGGACAGGCACATCCTGTGTGCATCTCCCTCCAGGCCCGACTTTTCAGAAACAGGACGCTTCCACCGAGAAGGCAGCTTACGTGATCTGGGGTGATTCTGTCCTTGGTGACGGACGCCCCGCCCCGCAGCCCAAAGATCATCTGGGGCTGAAGGGGGCAGTCGTGCCCCCCTAGGGTGGCCTTCCTGGCCCACAGCCATCCTGCCTGCCCCAACGTGTCCTCCAGCCCTGACGCAGCCCCGCCCCCTGGATCCCCAGCTTCCCGGTGCCCCTTCCAGACTCTGGAGTCCCAAGAGGAGAGCCTCTGTAGTTACTAGTAAACATGGCACGGTTTCCTTGAATCTGTGTTGGTCCTGCCGTCATCAGGGAGAAGCAAGAGGCTGGGGTATTCAGTGTCAGGAATTCAGAGGCTCGTCCCAGTGACCAGAGGTGCGGCCCACCCTGAGCTCTGGGGAGGGGCTTCTGGGACACCCCTGTCGGGAGGGTACAGTGCACATTTTCTGGGGCGGGGAGGGATGGGCCCCGCATGACCGACATTGACAAGCTGCAAGGCCCAGGAGCTGCACAGGCCCCTGGTCAGCCAGCCTGTGTCAGGGCCAGACGCAGGGCCACACCAGGATCCAAGGCTCCGAAGACCCCAATCTGGGTGTTGGGGGAGTGACCAAGAAGTATGCAGGCCAGGAACTGACCGGGATCCTCCCGCCCTCCCCCGCTGCCCTCCCTCCTCCCCTCGCTGGCCCTTCTCTACCCCCTTACACTGTCCTGTGGCCTGAGCCCGGCCCTCCCCGCCCCCCGGCCCCGGAACCAGAGAGTGACTCATCGCTCATCCCTGCTCTGTGGGCCTCCTGACCCCAAGGTCGCAGGTGCCCGAGGCTGCTGGGAGGGGGCCGACCAGGCGTGGGGTGGGGGGGCGGCACCTGTCACACCAGAGTGGGGTTTCCTGGGCCGGGACCGGGAAGGGGGGAGGGGTAGTCCCCCACAAAAGCACGGACTGTGCTCTGAGAGGCAGCTGGAGGGGGGACTCAGGAAGCTGCTGGCCTGGAGGAAGGAGAGTTTCTCAGAATACACAGCTGTGCACCTGTGATTCAAAATGTCCCAAATGCACTGCCCCATGGGCTCTCAGCAGATCCAGGGCCGGTCCACCTCACCTGAACCCAGAAAAGGACACTGTGATTTGGCTAAAATGCAGCCTGGGAGGGCTGCTGGGCCCAGAGCCAGGGACCCCAACAGGCAGGGCCTCTGTGCAGGGTCTGCCTGCCATGGGGGGTGGTGGTGGGACTCACCCAGGCTGTGAGGCTGTGTGCTCCTGGGAGGGGCTGGGCGGCTTAAACAACAGAACCCCACTCCTCCGTCTGGAGGGCCAGAGTCCAAGATGAAGTTGTCGGCAGGGCTGCTTCCCTGACCTTTCCGTGTCTCGTCCAGCTTCTGGTGGCTGTAGGTGGCCCCTGGTGCAGCCCACAGCCCTCAGTCTCTGGCGCTCTGCTTGCCTTACAAGGACGCCAGTCACTGCACTGAGGGCCACCCGACCCAGGGTGACCCCATCTTCACTAGTGACATTGGCAGAGACCCTGTTTCCAAGTGAGGTTCCGGGACGTGAGTTTGGGGGACCCTGTGCAACTCACTACAGCTCCCAAGAGGAGGAGAGAGAAGGATGGAGAGATGGGGAAGGGACACGAGGAGGGTTAGGAAACGGCAGAGATGGTGGGCGGGGGGGCGAGAGGGAGGGTGGGGACCTGGGCACCAGCCTGCAGCCGGGCTGAGGTCCAGACCCAAAGGCGTGGCCCAGCGACCGCCGCTCCTTTGTCCTGTGTGACAGCCGCGCATGGTTACGGCCCTCTTCATGCCTCCACTGCAAGGGGTGCCCACCACGAGCTGGGCCCAGTGGGCGAACCCCAGCCCTCACTCCCGAGCGGGTCGGGTCCTGCCCCTGCCCCTGCAGGAGCATCCTCGTGGGGCATCACATCGGGGACCACGATTCCCTTTGCACGGGCACTGGCCCTGGCACCCCAGGTCGTCCTCACCGTGATCCCCACTCCTGGCCAGTCTCCTGCAGTCGGCACGGAGCCCACAAGGGTGGCTAAGGAGGCTGGCACAGCCTAGGGAGGGGCAGGCCTGCACCTTGCTCTGGGCCTTCCCTGGGACCTGTGCCCCCGGCCCGCTGGGTCGGAGCCTTTCAGGTGGGTGGGCAGCCCCCCAGGACGTGCACTTGGACGTGGCCCCGCTGCAAAGGATGCTGGGAAACGGAGTCTTTGATCTCAGGAGGCTGCAGGGACCAGGCTGAGGCTGGAGGAAGCTGAGGGTGAGAACAAGCAGGGCGGGGGGTCCTTCGAAAGACAAGTGGCTGACCTTGGAGGAGTGACAGGGGAGATGCAGCCGTGGCCACGGTGGCTGACGAGGGACCGTGAGAGTGACGGGGCTCAGGCTCAGGAGGACCTCGGTCCAGCAAATCCTCTTTAACCCCAAATGCCAGGCACTGTGTCCTCAGTGGCTCCAGCCCCTCCCACCTCAGCCAGGGCCAGGGTCGCTGCAGACGCCCTGCCCTACAAAGCCTGGTGCCTGTGGAGGCCAGCCTCTACCCCAACCCAGACAGAAATGTCACCATCGGGATTCCACCCCAGACTCCAAAATCAAGAAGCTTCGGAGCCACTCTTTAGTTTTTTAGGGGAAAAAGTTACTTAAAAAACAAAAACCAAACCACTTCCTAAAAAACAGGGGTGGGGTATGAATTGCAGAGCCTGGACTCCAACCAAGTTTTCACTTAATTGTGAGTGAAGCACTGCACGGGAGGAGGGGGCAGCACGGCCAGCATCCCAGGGAGCAGACCCCGCCGTGCAGAGCACACTCGGGTCAGGTGTGTCCGGACCTGGAAGACACAGCAATTCCTGCCCTGAGAGTGGTGCTGTCTGCGGGAGGTACCCCCGGCCTCAGCAACAGCTTGAGGGCCGCTCCTGTGGGGACTGGGTCAGGCAGCGTGACATACAAGATGGGGGGTGGCTGTAGCCAGAGCATAGGAAGGCACGGGTCCCTGACGTCTCAGCCCGCCCGGGAGCCTCGCACCTGAGTTGCCAGGGACTTTCCACCTCTGCCCCCAACCGCTGGACATGTCAGGTCTGTGTGCACAGAAGCGTGTAGCACCTGAGACATCTTCCGTTTATACCCACGTCTGCGATCGTAACCTTGGAACCTTCTACTTTTGTTAACTGATTGGGGTCTCTGATCATCTTCCAATCAAACCTCCAAATCTGAAAAAGAAACTCACTTCCTGGGTGTCTAAGCAGACCCCTTCGGGAAGGAAAAGCGTTCACGTCACTGTGTGGATTTAGTGTGTCCTTTCTGGGGGGCCAGGTGGGAATGGGTAGGTGAAGGGGGAAGGGGGAAGAGCTGGCCAGGGTCAGGGGATGTTGATGGGAGAACCTGCACTTTGTGCTTTGGAGGGCCTCAAAATCTCCCCAACTTGGGAGGGGTTATTTATAAACCATTACTTAACGATGGGATAAACCCGGGAATCCCTCACCCTCTATAATAAAATAAAGCGTCAATCAGAAAGTAGTGGTAACAGGGCTTCCCTGGTGGCGCAGTGGTTGAGAGTCCACCTGCCAATGCAGGGGACGCGGGTTCGTGCCCTGGTCTGGGAGGATCCCACGTGCCGTGGAGCAAATAAGCCCGTGTGCCACAACTACTGAGCCTGTGCTCTAGAGCCCGCGAGCCACAACTACTGAGCCTGCGTGTCACAACTACTGAGGCCCGCCTGCCTAGAGCCTGTGCTCCACAATAAGAGAGGCCACCACGATGAGAAGCCCACGCACCACAACCAAGAGTGACCTCCGCTGGCCGCAACTAGAGAAAGCCCACGCGCAGCAGCGAAGACCCAGCACAGCCAAAAATAAATAAATACATACATTAAAAAAAAAAAAAGTAGTGGTAACGTATTGTGACAAAGGGCACTGAAAAAGCTGTAAATTACAAGGTTCCAGGTCTGGGAAAGGCTACTGGCTGTAGATGAGAGGCCCACAGTTCGGGGTGGGCATCCCACGGCCAGAGGGAAACCTCATACTCAGAGGGAGACCCTGCATCAGGAGAGCCACAGCCAGAGGGGGACCTGCCATGTACTGAAGAAGGAATGACCCGGCATTCTTTTTCACTGGGAAGAGTCACGACACAGAATC